AATAAAGAATTGTTACCTAAAGATGTCCCAGGAGTGACAGGTTCAATGTCTGTAGCAAGAAATGATCAAAAGTACTTTTAAAAAGAAACGTTAAGCACAGGAGAAAAGTTATCAAATTCTCTTGAAAATGAACTTTGTCAGAATCACAGAGAAAAATGTAATTTAGTGGTCAGAGAAGTAAATAAATACACAGGTACCAAGAAGATACCAGTCCTGTAAGGAAGTCACAGGTGTCTGCTAGGGCCTTCACCCTTAAAGGTCACAAAGGTAATTAGGAGGCAATGTAAACTGTCATCCCAGAATCATATCCAAGGAGGTTCCACAGGCACCAGGAGCCATATATTTACCTAGTGCGGTCGCAGGTGCCTCTGGGCTTGGCGTGGTTTCATGTTTGGGTTGTTTGGGAGGTTTCGAAGGTTTGGGACGTTTTGAAGGTTTGGGACGTGAAGGACGTGTTCTTGGTCGTTTTGATGTTTTTGGAGCTGAAGAAAGGAAACTGGTTAATATCAAATAACTCCAGAATCTAAAAAAGGGTTTATACATGGCTCTAGGTTTTCTAAAATTTTGCTAGATTTCTTTGAGTCTTGAGAAATTTTCCTCTTTATTTCAAAAAATTTCTTTGCCATCCATATGCAAAAAAATACTTTTAGGGGGGGCCTCCTAACATTTATTTTGAAAAAGTCTGTATAACATTATTTGAATAACCTGAAACCATTATTGTTATTGTTGGTGTCAGATTTTCAATGATGACCCTGACCAAGGGAAGTCAGAGCGCAGCAGGTACTTGTCAGGTTAGAGAGGGACCCAGCTCACCAGCTTCTGGGGGACTTTACTTAGATAATACTTCAGTTAGGCAAACACCCCATGAAACATGATTGGGAAAAGCACATTTCATTGCCTAACATCCTTGGTAGACAACAAAGGTGCCCTGCATATTTTATAACAACTTTCTGTTGATGTACACTGAGTTATAAATGATGTTTATGGGGCAGAATTGTATTTGAAATTCAGCTTTATCACCGAGCACTGGGCAGAATCACAGGCTCTGTAAAGTATTAATAAAGATGGATAGAACGGGAGATAGATGCTTTGCATTAGCTGCAAACAGGCTTATATTCTAACCAAGTGACTTGTTTTAAACATCTTCAGTACAAAGCGAGGATCTAGAGGAATGACAAGAGAGGATGATGAGAAAAATCCTAGGAAAGAGGAAGGCCCCTGACCAAGATAGTAATGGAATAGGCTAGACAATGAGCAGAAAATGCACCTGCTTCAAGACGTAGAAGGTCATTACCTAATGTTGTCCAGGGAGCTTCAGTTCTCAGACTTTCAGATTCAATGTCTGTGGCAGGAACTGACCAAAAGCAATATAATGAGCAATGGAGATTAAGAAACACAGGGAAAAAATTACCTTGAAAATAAGTCTTCTTAGCTCTGTAATGTTTAAAAATCAGTTCTGAACTCTGGAAAAATAGTATTTGTTCTCCAATAATGGGCTGTACTCTCGTATCCATTTATCTTACAAGATAGTCATATTCTTTGCACTTTGCATCCTTATGAGGCCAATGAAAAGTTCTTTTTTGTGTGTTTAATTATCTGATTCCAACTATACTGGAAACTTGCCCCCTCCCCTCAAAATCAGATAATTCGTTGTCTGATATGTATTTTAAATTACTCTGAAAATGTATTATGAAAATCTCTGTTTGTATCTGAAATTCTTTTACCATCATTCTTGATATATGTTTTGAGGACTGTTGGTAGTGAGGAGAATTTTTAAAAATCTTAGTCAGTCTGTTTATCAGAGATCTGTGGCAGTTATACAAAAGATAAACTTTTGACTTCCTCCAGAATAAATGTGATACATTTTCTTACTGTTTCTTATTTATTCATTTATTTCAAATGGATAATTAGGAGATAATTATTCAAGTGAGAAGAAGAGATGATTAAGAAAAAATTCTGAAAAGCAATAATTCAATTTTTTGTCTGAATAAATAGGATACCTAGAATTCTGTAATGATTAAATTATGCGTAGGTATGAAATTAAGATTTATTGACTCCCTAGTTTTAAATTAGTTTCTATTTTTCATAAATTCAGAAGATTAAATGTAACATTAAAACATTTTTATCACTAAAAACCCTGTAAGTAATTATCTGAAGATTGCTTTTTATTGACTATCCAAGACATATAGCACTGAGTTAGGTTAAGCCACATCTGAGAACATCTTCTGAACTAATGGAAAACATGGCAGACAGAAGAGAGGGAGAAAGCGAGAACAACAGCATGAACACCATATTCAAAACTGACTGCCTTCAAACAAAAAAGGGGAGTCCTTATTTTGTTTGGAATTCAGCACCCTAAGCTTAATTTTTCAACAGAATATTGACATTCATTCAAGCTGTGTTTGAATAGTATGGAATCAAGGAAGCAAGAGATTTTTTGAGAAAGAAAGAATTTTGTATTGTGTCAAACCCCAACCAGTTTTTCATTGATCCCCTCCCACATTTATAAATTATACACATAAAAACAGGAATCTCAAACATGTCCTGGTTTAAAGGATGGATGGAGGGAGCCCCTGTGACTCCTGACAGCATCAAGGGCCGGACGCAATCTGAATGCCTCTGAAGGTGACCCAGGAAAGAGTAATATCAGGGGTTGTCAGCTGAGCAGCAGATGCCAGATGGCCTCCCAATGTTAAAAAGGCCCCTAACAACGTTGGAAATGAATGAAAAAGATGGTGAATAACCGTTTACACAAGAGAACGACAGAGATGAGAGGAGCAAGCTCAGAGAAACACTGGCAAGAAGGAAGACAGCCATCATTACCTATGGTTATGGAAGGAGCTCCAGCCTCCAATGTAACAGGCTCAAAGCCTGCAGCACAAGAAACAAACAGATAAAAATGTTAAAAGCAGTAAGTCTGAACTTTTAGGTGATCGCTGAGATGCTTAATTCAGAGGCTAGAGAACCTGATATAAATTCAGAAGTGATATAAATTGTCTTCTTGACAGGCTTCACGAGAGATGCTCTTAGTAAGTTAGAATTTTATACTCATGGGAATCTTAGGAGAGATTTTCAATTGCAAAACAGTTGAATTTCCAGAACTGTTATATAAACATCCCCTTATTTGGTAGGAAATCGCTTAGTAAATAGTTGCTGTTTAAAATGTCAATAAGGTATTTGAGAGGAGGCCAAGCTCTGATTCTGTGCCCGCAAACCTGGGCATGTGTGCCAGCCTCCCAAGTGCTGCCTGGCGGTGGCTGCTCACCGCGTTTTCAGAAATGGTCCAGATACAGAAAACCAGGCTCCCATGCGTTACACACACAGACTCAGAAAACAACGCCTACAAACTCCTTAAGGAAACAGCAGCTGTCAGTATCAGTTGTAAAATGTACTAATTTCCCACACATTGATTTGTTCATTTCACACTTACAACATTAGCGTGACTACTTTGAGACAATAATGAACAAAGTCATGGTGCTTGGGTTTCTATGTTTTATGTGATATAACGAACTGTAAGCAGTTTCAGCAACATTCCCAAAGAAAGAGCTTAAACCAAAGCATTGGAACTTATGTTTACCGGATTTAGTTGATGGCATATCTGGTTTTGCTGTGGTTTGGGGTTTAGGAAGTAATTGCTTTGGTGTTTTTGAATCTAAAGGAAAAAAAGGTGTTATAATTAGTGTCATAGCAGAGCTGTGAATGTCAAGATTAATGTTACTGACACAAAGTTTTCCTAGTTATAAATCAAGGCACTGAAAGTAGTGGCTAGCCGGCTGGGTTTGAGGTACGTCTGGTCTATGTGTGGTTTAGGGTCTTTTGGATGGTTCTGATGCTAAAGAAAAAGGTATTAAAATTAGCATAATAGTCCTGGCTGTAACTGTCAGAATTAAGGACATATAGGCTCGAGCAAATATACTAAATAATTTCAGTGAATATTCAGCAAAATTAGCTCCTAGGTTGTGGGAAGAATGGGAAATATGTCCAAAAGAGAAAACTCCAGGAAATGCTCAACATGTGTCTTTGAGCAAAAATAATGAGAACTGCAATAAGACTTCTTTTTTACATAAGTAATTTCAAATGTGGTAAGTATAATAGTTCTATTTCTTAATTGATTTTTTTTCAGTATAAAAATAATATGGTAGAAATTTGAAACCTGGGAAATAATCTTTAACACTTGAAATTCTATACAATGTTACATGGCTACTGATTTCTGGAATTTTCTAAATTAAAGTAGTGACAGATTTATTGTGAATGATGAGAACTTACAATGAAATAATTATCATCAACAGCATTAGTACTAAAAACAATAAAATCAGCTTGGGACATATAATGTTCTCAAGTTACAGACCATCCTATGTTTACATTGGATCATAGACCAAGGATAGTATTTGTCCTTCTAATTATCAAAACATACTCAAAATTTTTTTTCCAAAGAAACAAAAAAAGCTGAAGAAGCCATTATTTCATGCAGTTTTTAAAAAGAAAGAATGTCAAACAAGCTGAATGAGTAAATCAATGAAATGGTAATGAGGGCACTGAAATGAAATTTTGCCATTTGTCAAGTTCAGGATGCGCACAGAAGCCTCTGTCTGGGAGAATAGATGGTCTTTTCACCACAAGGACACATGGGATGGAAAGGCAGAGGGTCAGTGAAAAACCAGGAAGTTGTGTCCAAGGCCACAGAGCTTCCTTAAACAAGCACACAGGATTCTTCTAGAAGTCTCCTATCATCGGGTTCTTCAGACCCAGATAGGACACTGAGGGGACGCATGGAATGAAATTGTGGTGATCTGGCAGGAGTGCAGTCATGCCTGGTGGAGAGTAGGAAAAGCAAAAGTGACAACATGAGAGCAGTTGGAGGAGAGCAGAATTACCGACTGTGGGCACCCAGACCTCCGGTTGTGCCGTAGCAGGTTGCAGAGCTACAGAAGTGAAAAATCAAAAAGAATAATTATATCAAGAAGCAGCATCAATCTTTACTTAACCTGTGTGCTCTTTTTGGGTGTGATTCTCCCCTTTATTTTCCCCTTTCCCTCCTCTTCTCACACAGCTCCTCTGCCATGAATATGCATCCTCCGTAAGATGTTAGGGTGCCCTACTTTAATAATACACTTAGTGAGTCAGCTTACTATTGTGTGTACCTGTAAATATAAATGTGTATATTCATGTGGCATGAATATGGATGGTTAGTACAGATACGTAAATATAAACATCAACTACGGTTGTTCCTAAAGTCCAGCAGCATAGGTAGTAGATAGCTACCATATCCGAAGCTATCATATTCCACTTTCTGTGTTAATTGAAACCCTCAACATCACATTTACCAGGTTTGGACTTGGGCACATCTGGACTACGTGTGGATTTAGGGCGGGGGCGACGACCTGGTCGTTTGGTCTTTGGTGGAGCTGAAGAAAGAAAATTAGCTAGTTAATACAGGACAAACAATTTTACATATACCTTAGAAGCACATTTAAACTCTTCGATTTATTGTGGATATGTACCTTTCTGTTTTGCACCTTTCTATCATTGAATAATAACTGAATCCTTAATTATATTTTTTTGGCCAGTTAAATGAATCTTCAATTACATTTTTTTTGGACAAAGATTTGTAAACAATCACTGTTCAAGAGATCCCTTGTTCATCCATTTTGAGATGGGAAAACCTAGAACTCTGTATAACTTAGAGAAAACAGTCTCATAAAAATTTTGAAAGTGCTTGTTCAATAGGAACATGAGAAAAGTTATGTTTAAAAAGCCACTAGGGATAACAATTAAAATTTCTTTGGCCTAAGATTCAAAAGAAAAAGTTTTGCACTTAGCATTAAAAAAATCTGCAAATCAGCAAGATGTATTTTGAATTCAGAAATTATTTCAGGGAAGGTATATTTTAAAATTGAGATATAGTTTATAAAACTATAGATTAAAAATGTTTCTCTGGGAGTAAGAATAGAAAACACACACAAAAATGAATATTAATGGATTAATCCATTAATATGAGCCTATTAATAAAGCCACCAGCAGTCAGGAAAAGAGGTCACTCAATAATTGTATTACCTAATGTTGTTGTTGAAGGTGTGGTTTCCAGTGTTCCAGGTTCTAAGGCTGCATGAAACATCATCAAAAAAGAATCAAGATCAAAGAAAAAATGATTAATATGAAATATTAATATGAAATAAGTATTAAAAATGTTTAATTTTTAATTACTAAGTTGAACAAATATAAATGATGAAAATATTAGCCACATAAAAATTCCCTTTTTTATTTAAATTGACCCTGTGCTTTTAGACAAAATGAACAAAAATATAGCCAGTGAGTTAAGTTTGGAAAGAGAATTGGAAAGAAAAAGGTACGATTCTTATTTGGAATATGTGAATGCAATAAAGTAACCAACCATTCGTGCTATGAAGGAAAATATGGGTAATTGGCTAAGATGGCACCAGCAGAACACAGTATTTTGCTCTCCTGAAGAAAAAGAAGCTATAACCTTAGGGTTAGTGTTTATATTTCTCTCTTTTAATGAATTTCCTAGTGACATATCAGGATATTTAGATCTGGAAAGACCATAATGTCTTTCAAGAAAATCTGCAAATGTTGGAGTTCCGAAAAGGAAGAAAAACACCTCCAAATGTGAAAGCAAAACGTCCTAGGAAATCCATGGTCCTCACCAGGTTAAAAGCAGCTCAGGGCACATTCCTCAAATATAAGGAAGGACAATAAAGCAGGTAAAATAAAAATGAAAGGAATGTGTCAAATCAAAGTCAGTACGGCTTTCATGCTACCCCAGAACCTCTACTTTGTTGAGCACAGGCAGAGAGTTTATCTTCTGACAAAAATGGCTGAAAGAAAGAGCTAAAGGATGATGAAGAAATAATTTTTTATTTTTTAAATCTCTTTTTTAAAGATATTTTTATTCATTTTTAGAGAGAAGGAAGGGAGAGGGAGAGGAAGAGAGAGAGAGGGAGAGAGAGAGAGAGAAACACTGATGTGAGGCTGCCTGTCCCCTTAGCAGGGATCAAGCCTACAATCTGGGCGAGTAATTGAACCAGCGATCTCTTTACCTCTTGGTTCATGGGATGATGCCCAACCAACGGAGTCACACCAGCCATGGCAAAATAAATTTTTAAAAAGCCAGAATTAAGAATAAAATTGAAGATAGAGGTTGTAAAAAAGAGACGTAATTCTTTTTCACTAACTAACAAAAACTTCATTACCTATTGTTGACTGTGATGGTGTTGGAGTCAGAGGCTCTGGGGCTGCAATAAAAGCAAGTATTATCAAAGGCAATGCTGAAGAGCACCATCTAAGACAGAAACTAAATGCCGTTTAGTAGAAAAAGTATTCTCTCATTGATGAGCAATCAGGTTCTCCTGGCTTAACAACCGAAAAGCTCAACACCACATCCTCTCCGCAAACCACAATAAAAGTAAGAATTGAGATTTCTATATTTTTTGGTAGATTTTTAGCTATTGTATTTACTACACAATATTCTGAAAACTGTTTTTAGTGCTTGAGGAGATACTCCATTAACCCCTTCCCCGGCAGAAACGTGTATACACGTTTTCACAAAATGTTCTTTTTTCAGTCGTCGACGAGTATACTCGTCTAAAAACTTTACCTTCAAAAACCAGCTACATACATACCATTAAAGGGAAGTCAGGCAGCTCTGAAAGGTTGCATGGAGCTCTTGTCCACCGGCCACATTGCTCCCATGCAGGACAGTCAGGTTGGTCCAAGGAAGAATGAACAGACTCATTAGACCTGTACCTGTGTCTGAATTCTGTTCGTTTTGGATGATTTTCAGCTTGGCTGGATCTGACATTATTTTATATAAAAAAAAATCAAACTTATGGTCTAAAAAGGAACCAAAATGCTCATATGATGTTCTCCATGTTTATTAGCAGTATTGCTGGTGAAAAAATTGATTCACTTATAAAATTTAGTCCATTTTGGTTAGTAAATCAGCAGAAGTCAAAAGGCAGTTTCATATTTCATTGAAATGGTAAAAAAATTGAATAACAGTATCATTTAAATATTCTATCAGATAACAAATCCTCAATGTCATTCAAATTGGCAGAGAGAGAGAGAGAGAGAGAGAGGCCTCAATGTTTCAGATTCTACAGGAGAAAAGGAAAAAAAACAGTAAGCACCAATACATTAAATATAATAAATATTTTTAAAGGATCCACATCTGAAAATAGCAAGCAACAAAAATTCTTCTGAAACTTCGAGGTTGTAATTCATGTTTTAATTTCTACAAATGTACCTTCTAAACGAGTGAAAATGTAATTAAAATTTGGTGCTCACAGCATTTTCAAGACTTTACAAAGATTAAAGAATACTGTCTTTTAAATTTGTAAAGAAAAATCTGCATTTTTGAACTCTTGGCAGGAGCAGACCACATAGGTATGTATTCCTATCAATTAAGCTTCCAATTCACCTCCATATAAAAAAAGTCAGTGTTTATTAAAAAACAAATACATGTTCTGATGAGTTCCTCTATCAACACTATTTAGGTGTTGTAGATAAAGATATAGAAATGTTTCATAAAAAAAACTGAGTGGCATGCAAATAACTACACCACTCACATCAACACAACACAAAGAAATATACAGCTTGCTCATGGATTTGTGGCTAGCAAAGAGATCAATGTACAATTCCATCCACCACACCTGTAATTAATTGGAGCACTCTCCCATGTTTTAGTGTTAAAAGTTGAAGAGTGGAATGTCAAAGATTAACTGTGAAAGAAACAATTCTTATTGGATGAGGTAGACAAGAAGAGACAGAGTAGATGGCTGGGATTTTCAAGAAAGCGCTGGATTCTGCTTACGAAACAAGCCAAAACCAATGGTGGTTTTTACTTGTTAGTTTAACCACCAGGGAAAACTGAAGGAAAAGCAGCCTGCATGGAAAGTGAAATGGAAAAAAAGAGAGTGAGGAGAGGGCTGGGGAAGGCAATGAATCACTCAAATCAAACAGCTTTTCGTGGTTTATTTGCTCTCCTGAACCTTGGCTAGAAACAGAAATTTTCAGCAGAGCTATAACGGTGGCCTGCCCTAAAGTAAAAATAAATAAATTCTTTTAAAAAACTAAAACACAAGCAACAGTTTTCAGACATTCAGTCATTACTCTGTGTTGTGTGTTGCCTCAATGTCAACTTGAGTTGGCATACATTTTGGGGCAGATTCTGAAGTGGCTATACTTGCTGTTAGGGAAAAAAATGTGGCTATTCTTAAGTGATTAGAAGGTAGAAATGAAAGGAACATAAACTCATTAAGCTTCCAAATAATTTTCCACACTTTAAAAGGAAATGTCAAATTAAGAAGTCTCTGCTCAAATACCTTAGAATAATGAGAACACACCCTCCAATTCTTATTTGTATTAATGTACTGCCTGTCAGAAAACTTTTTAGAAACCACTGAAGTTAATAATGTAAATTACCTTGTGTAAATTACAATTAACATTTGGAGGCATTTTTTGATGTTTTCAAATTTTAATTTGTAATAACAGAAATAATTAGATTGGAGAAATATTCATTTAAATTTGGTGACCCAAACATACAGTAACGTTTCTCATACAGTCTGCTTGGTAATAGTCTTCTATGCAAATATAACATAAATGTAATAGTTACTATCGTAATCTAAAGTCCTCCAAGCATATTTAAAAATAAATGTAGGAGAAACCCTTCTTGCATATAGCTGTCTGTGTTTTTATATTTTAAACTTGTACAGCTCTTGGGTATCATGAGCTATGCCTCTTTCTCCAAATAGCCTCCCTGAGTAAGAATGCATCATTCCATGTCCTGATTTGGAGACCTCCCCCACGGTCATACTTCCTTAATCCCTAATTTTCTTCAGTCTGAGACCTACACTGCCTCTTTAAAGGGGGGCATTAGAATTCTTTTTCTGAGCAGTTACTTTTTCTTCCTTATGCATTTCATTGCAAAAAATAAAGCTTGCTCACTAAAGCAGAAAATCACTTGCTTTAATAACTATGCTTTGTAAACATAAATTAATGAAAAGTCCATTGAATAGTACAGTGAGAAATATATTCTTCCCAGAGCTAAGGATTTAAAATTTAGATGAAAATGATGAGTGGTGACAGAGATCCAAACATATCAATCATGTAAGTCAACATGTAAACTATTGTATATGTTCTGGATAGAAAGTGATGAATATTTGGTCCTTTAATATATCCCACAATCCTTATGTAGGGAATTATCTTTGTCTTAAATTTTATGGAATAACCCCTCCCTGTAAAAGAGCAAAACATCCTTTTCTTCAGGAAAACACCCTTAATATCTCCTGAGAAGTAAACACAAGTCAGTGTTCGGAAATCAGCCCCAGGAGAGAAAGATGTCATGGAGCCAGGGAGACACACACTTTTTAGCCTGAAAACTAAGAAGTTCAAATAAGGCAGAGTTCTTAGGGGATGGAAACACTCTTCCTTTCCAGCTGAAAGGCGATTGTTCAGTGTCATAAGAGTTCCAGTCAACATTGGTACTGGAAACTATTTCATAGTCCTAGACAAGGCAGTCCTCAATCATGTACATCATTCTGTGTCTGTGTTTTCTCTGTGAAGGTCATGAACATAACGCTCCTCCACATACCTCAGAGCGCGCTGTGATAACATCAGAGGCACTGGTTATAATGAGAGCATTTCATTGCATTTTTGCATTTTTCATGGCAAAATGTGTCAAACACCAAAAGACAAATCAGAAGTTCTTGCTCCAAAGAGTGGCATAAAACAACTTTTCAATCCTACTGTTGGAATATTAAAAAAAAAAATCAGGGTAATTACCAGGTTTGATGTGTGTCACTTCTGGGCTCAGAGGGATTTTAGGTTTCAAAGAAATAAATTGTGTTTTACTGGGAGCTGGAAAAATAAAGAAGCAAAAAGAATCAACAAACAATTCCATTTTTAGACATTTTAGTGTCTAAAACTACAAAGGAAAACCTATACTTTAGGTGGAATGAGCCAATCATCTTGGGAGATTTTGGAAATAGTCCATTAAAAGAGTATTTCAAGAGCAGCATTTAATGGAAATACAGTGATAAATTTTCATCTGGTTTGAAAAAACATTTATAGAGTATATTTGACCTAAAGAAATAGCATTGCTACTAAGTAGTCATAACTACACAAAGATAGTGTGATTTAAATCCATGCTTTAAAAAAATCAGTGTAATCATTTTGTGCTCCTATTTCATATTCCTCAGTTACATCTAAGTCTTTAAGCACCAGAAAAAGATATATTTTAAAATTAATATTTACTGATAGATATGCTATGGTCTGCAGCATAAAGAAATTCTACTAATACCATAATAGTCATTTTTCCAAATGCAGTCTAAAGTTGAAATTAAGGGCTTTATGAAAAAAACAACAACTGTGTGTAAGACCCAACTTCAGATACAATGATTGGATAGAAGATGAGAAAGAAGCATGGTTTTATACCTTTCCAAGGCATAGGGTGATGTACAAGGTTGCATTCAGATCCACTTACTATAGGGCCAGCTATCCAAAACCATGAAAGCCATGGTCGATGTGCTACATGAGATACTCGGTACTGCTGCAACGAGCCCATTAGAATACTGACTGAGACATGACATGAAAGCTGGGGCCCTGGATTTCCCATGGTGACAAGAAGTAACACACCCACTAAGGACATATCATTACCCAGTGTGGTCCATGTAGGTTCAGGGCTCATAGAAAGTTTAGAAGTAGTTGTTCCAGGACTTTTGGTTCTTTCTGGTGATGGAAAGAGATATTATGATATCCTAGAGACAATAAAAAGATGTCCTCCAAAGAGGGACTGAATGACATGTTAAAATCCTGCCACAGCTAGTAGTCAGTGTTTATAAAGTATGTCCCCACTGCTTTATCCTTTGCCCAAATCCTACACAGATTTTGAGGCTTGCATCCTCAACTCTTACTTTCTTTTTCTGACCTTCTACATGAGTATTAGTCTCACAGGTAGATTATATGATCTTATGTTGTTCTCTCATTGTTTATGATATATTATCTTCATAAGATCATAAGCCATTGGAAAACTGGGGTCATGTCCTTCCCATCTCAGCCATTGCCCTGGGGAAAAACTGAAAGCATAGTAGGCACCCCAAACCAAGAACTGTCACCTTATAAATACTTGAATAGAGATGGCATACCAAGAAAAAGAATTATACTATATATCTCACTCTACCATGTGATAGCAAGTCTTGTGTCTAGGTTTATACCAAAATTCACATGCAAGAACATCACTTACATAATTCTTAATAAAAGTTTATCAGAAATTATTGACTCTTGTTATTCATTATCATTAATTATTTATCTTCAGTTACCTTCAGATTTTGTAAAGAAACTTTAACCTGCAGAATCATGTCACTTATTTTTATGGCAAGGAGATGGACATTATCTTTTTGGAATTAAATATCCTGAAAGGTTAAAGAGACATTTGTTTACCAGGCTTGGTTCTTGGTGGTTTGGGCCTGAGGCGTCGTTTAGGTGTAGTTTGCAGGGGAGCTGAAAGAAGATTTAAAATAGCTTTCAGAAATGATTTTCCTCAGGGTGGATCAGGTTTAAGTGTAAACTTGTAAACTTCTTGAGTGCAAGGACTGCTTTATATTTCCTTGTATCCCTTGAATGCCCAGCACTGTGCCTTATTCACAGCAGGTGCTCAATAAAAGTGCTGATTGGGCCAAAGGAATTAATTTTCTATGTGAGAACTCTTCAATTAACTGTACTACAAAGTGAGCACCTTTGAAGAATTTGAGAACAGATGGTGCAATTTAAGAACTCAAAAGATGATTTAGCAAACAGCTGGGGAGAAACACAAATAAACTATTTGGGTTTTAGAGAATAGAAAGTCCAGGACTTCTTTAATTCTGTAGCATTTTACTAACCTCACCAGGAAATAATGAACTTCATTATTCCTATAATTTTATATTTTAAAATGAGGTTGTGTTACCTGTCTTTTGCCCATTTTTCTTCATCATGCTCAGGACTGCAGAGCTCTCTTGGGGCTCTTTATACTTGGACTACTTTGAGAAAAAGTCTCTGACCTCATGGTATCTGAATGCACTAATTAGGAGGGAATATATTTAAAATAATTATCATCTATAATCCTGCTGCTATTTTCTGGTTGGAGAATTTGAAAGTATAGCCAAAAATAATAATTCTTCACAATATCTACTAGTACACAATGTCATGGTAGGGAATGAAGAGACGTGTTTACCACTGAAAATATTCTGAAAGGAGCAACATGACTGATTTTTTTGAATTGATCTGTTCTTTCAAAGTAAACAACTATACAAATGTCATTAGTTACCAGGTGTTGTAGGTTGCATTTCAGGACTGGTAATGATTTCCAGTTTTTGAGGAATAAATGGCGTTTCACTTGGAGCTGAAAATACAAACACCCCACCCCACCAAATAGTTCCAGTTAAAATGAGGTATTTTAGGAGTTTTCACATGCTTTCAGCTGGTGTTACGAAGCACATGCTACAAGTACATGATTAAGGATGAAAATGCAGGTAGTCTTCAAAGCTGATGAATGAAATAATAATGTAAAATCAGGGAAAGGTGGGAGTGATAATTGTTCAGTCGCTAACTCCAGGCAGACTCAATGCAGGAAAGAGAGGTGATACAGGCCACAAACACATGAGATGGGTGATATGGATGATGAAAGTATCCATGCAGTTTTCAAAACTTTTCATTCCTTTAGGGATGGAAAAATATCATCTATTACAGTACAAAGAAAAAAAGAGACCAAAATGAAACATGAGATGCCTGCATTATAGGGGGAAAAAGTATATATATTCAGAAATAGGAAAGAAATAAATGATTAGATGTGATGGAAAGAAATGGTCATTTGGAAGGAAGGCATTCACATGGATTTTTCTTTTGATGGAAAACAAAGCACTATTTTTCTGTTAAAAACATTACCCAGTGTTGCCCTTGGCTGTTCAAGAGTTCTAGAAGTTTTAGGTGGGACAGAATCCAGAAATGGATCCGTTGTTGCTGTTGGAATAAATGTCAACATTTACAAAAGCAGTAGAAGGCCCAAGGAATAAAATACAAATTCATGAGTAATAAATTTTGCCCCATATAGGAAAAAAGTATCAAGAACACTTGAGAATTTAGGCCAATCACATGATCTCACTCATTTATGGAATATAATGAACAACATAAACTGATGAATAAAAACAGATCCAGAGACAGAGAAGCATTGATCAGACATCAAACCTCAGAGGCAAGGTAGGGGAGGGGAGCGGTAAGGGGGAGAGATCAACCAAAGGACTTATATGCAAGCATATAGGCCTAACCAACGGACAGACACAGGGCCAATGGACACAGACAACAGATGGATGAGGGCATGAGTGGGGAGGGGGCGGTAATGTGGGGATAAGGACACATATGTAATAACTTAATCAATAAAGAAATTTTAAAAAAGAACACTTGAGAGATTTCTGACCAACAGTTTTAAATGAGTGGTTCATTAGAATTTAAATATGAGCTCACTTTAAAGAACATATATATTTTAAACATCAGAAAACATGATAAAACAGTGTCTCATATACTCAACTTCTTTTCAACAGATTTTGCTGGCTTCTTCTCTCTGTTCCTTAACTACTAATTAAACCCATCTTTAGCATTCTATTTCATTTTTAAAAATTTTATGCTGTTTAAAATTACTTTTATTTATGACACAAATAATGCTGAGATAAAGCTACACAAAGAGAAAGTCTCAGACATATATGCATGCCTGGCAGAGACCAGTCTTATTCACTTTAAATGTTCTGCAGGACCAAGCTTAGTAGGTGCTTAGTAAACACTTGCCAAGAGGAACTAGTGGACTGAGTTAAATTCACTGTAGCTGCATCAGTAAGTGAATGCCAAAAATTAGACCCACCTGAACGTCTATCCTATATAATAAAAGGCTAATATGCAAATTGTTCCCTTGACCAGGAGTTCAACTAGGAGTTCGACCAGGGGCTGGGCCAGTGACCAACCACCAGTGGCCACTCCCCCCAGCCGGCCCCACCCGGTAGGCAGGCCAGCGGACGCCACCCACGCACTAATTTGTACACCAGGCCTCTAGTAGATAAATGAATAGCATGATCGTGCTCCATAGCACGATTTCTCACCTCAGCAATATTGACATTTAGGGCTGGGTGATTCTCTGTAGGAGGGGCCTGTTCTTGGCATTGTAGGGGTTTAGCAGCATCTCTGACCCCTACTCACTGGATGTGTCAGTAGCACCTCCTCCAGCTGTGACAAACACAAATGTCTCTAGACATTTCCAAATCCCCCGGGAATAGAGGAGAGCAAAATCACCCCCACTAGAGAACCACTGCTCCAGAGAAAACTCTCCAGGATTCGAAAACCTTTTTAGAGTGATGCTGAGCAATAGACCATTACCTTACTTTGCTTCAGTAGCAAGCAAACCTATCTGCATCTCCCACTTGTGGGAGCCTGTTTACTCGTGGATGCAAACAACTAATCACTCAGTGGGAGAGGGTGGCATCGTTTCCCTGAAACGGATTGCCATTTCTTTTGCTGCAGAGCTCTGGAGAGTGTACTATTTCATTCGGCAAAAATTAAAGAGAGAACTAGGTGCAGTATTGTCAGAACACATGGAATCAGAGGAAAGAATTGAGAGGTTGGGTATACCTGTGTGGGGCTCTGATATTTCAGGCTCATCGGACGTTGTAGGGCTTGAGAAAACGTCATAAGCTGCTTTAAAGGAAAAGGTAAAACAAAAGAGATAATGTTAATTTTGACTGAAAAGATTTCACGACATATTTTAGTAATGGTCTTGTCACTACAGTGTAAGCAGTCGCTAACACTTCCTGTAGCCCCTCTTGACAGGAACATGAGGTCTCTGTGCAGCGAGCCTGACACCGGCCCCGGGCTGATGTGCGCATAGTGCTGTATATTTACAGTAAAGTGGTGCCAGCTCTAAATCAAAGAGCTCCCAAGAGTATAAACGTAAACGAAGTCAGATGGGAGAGATTTCCAAAGAAGGAAACGACATTCACATAGAGACTCTTTGCACAAAGTCTACTGCTTCGTCTTTCTGCTGAGTAAACATTTCCATCATGCTACCTTAACATTCGGACAGCACTTTACAATTTGCACTGCGCTGTCTCATATAAACGTTTATTTAACTGCCTTAACACCCTTGAGAAATAGGTGAGGTAGACTTTATTCCCACTTCATAGATAAGGATATTATCTCTATTTCCGAGACAATGCAACGGAGATTCACAATGGGGATACATCTGCCAGTGGTCACATGCGGGATTGTCCGGTGCAGCATTTTTTTCACTGCATTCACAGGGCCAGGAGCAGTGGTGCTAAGACGCAGCACTCTATCCCTTGCACTGTTGTTCCTGCCCCTTTACCCTTCTTTCTCTGTTCCTCCATTAAGCCAAGAACCCCTCTATAATCTAAGTGGATTTAAAGATAACATTTATATTCTACATGAAATAAAGAAAGCAGGGTGGTCTTAAAAACAAAGGTTGGTTTTAAAGCAAGGGTCACTTTTATGTTCACATAAGAGTTGAATCTGTAAGCAAAAACAGGACCAAAATACAAATGTCCTCTCTTCTGCACCAAGAGCTGTCACACCGATAATGACAGGTGTACAGAAGCTTGAATTGTGAGGTAGCCTTTCCTTTCCTTGTCCCTTCAAACAGGCTGTACAGAAGTAAACTAGAAAGGTGGGGGGAGCTCCTGGGAAAATTCTCTCATGGAGTTACTTGTAATTCAATGACAGTGTAACGATTTGAGCTTCCCCTAGTTGAAGCTGTAAGAAAGATAGTACCAGACCCTGTGACACACTCTGATACTCGGATTGGGCAGTTTATATCGTACCACATACTAAAGAGGCAGGAGATACATTTCAGCTTGTGAAGGTGAGTCTATTGCTTTGAAAAATCTTAAAAAACAACAACAAATAAACAACCAGTAAGAACAGCACTCAGAATATTATGAGTTAAAATGTGCAAACAGTCTGAGCGTAAGTACATTACATCTTAAGTGTAGCTACAACTTTAAAGGGTCAGAGAAGAAAAACGAATCTTTCAAAGGACAGGAAAGCTGGCAGTTGCTGATTTTAGTCTTGCTTTAAGCCAATTTCATGGAACCATCGAAGTCAGCTCTAGCTACCACTAAATTAAGTAAGGAACCTTGACCAACTTGTATTTCACCCTCTCATACTAGGAAAGAAATTATGAATTAATAGCTTGACTTATTTATATTTTTACTTTTGAAATATGCAACTGTCCTTATGTTATCCTAGGTCCCACATTTTCCTTTTATCTCGTGACAATGACCCACCTTTCTTACAGTCTGTAATTTTGTCCCACAGGTCGATGCTTATTCACCCTCTCTCTATTTCTTTTCCATACTTGCAATTTCCTTCTCGTCTGGAGTTCCCAAGCCTGGCTGCCACCTTCTTTGGCTTGTTCTCAAAAGGCACTCCCCTGGGAGGAAGCCCCTTCCCATCATTCCTGGGCAACAGTGGCCTCCGTCTGGAAGTTCTCAATGGTCAGGGACCTCTTACTTCCAAACATTTTCTCAAATATGCTCCAAGATGAAAATAACACTTTTGCCAGCAGACTTGGCTCTTCATATTTCTATTTCTGGAGTTTTTGAGAATTGAGTAGTAAATAACAGGAGTGCTAAAATCACACAAACACCATTTGGTGGAAGTTTTACATTGTGTGGGCTGCCTTGAGAAGCACACCACCACCTCAGATCATTCAGGGGTTAAACAAGATTTTTTTTTTTACTCTGAAGTAATAGATGTCAGAGGAGAGGATAGCTTTGAAATGAAGGTCCCTAAAAACCAACTGCTCTTGCTTTCTTTACAAAACTCTTATATATGTACTCCTATACCAGAGCAAAATGCATGGCATGGTCAGCCACTGCAGGTTTTTAAAAGGCTACAAAACTGACAAATAGCTAAGAATTAGGGGTGAATCCCTCTGTTTTTTAGACACTCTATGTTCTGTCATGCATTATTGTTTAGAGGCAAATATCTTGCCACCAATGTTTACTTAGTGGATGAAATGCTCCAGCTATCTGGCATTAAGCTCTATCTCTCACCTATTCATGAGACCAAGGGTTGGAGGAGAAATCTAATGTGAGTTTAGTAAGTAGTTCAATTCAAATGTTACAATGAGCAATATTACTTTCTTTCAAAATACAGTAATGACTTATGATCATGATAGCTAAGTTTTACTCTTCTATTTTTCAGATAAAAATATTATAGTATGAGATAAGCAACACTACCATTTGCTCATAACTTCCTAAAGCCATATTGTTAATTGTGTTTTGTTATTTGTATATTTTTAATTAAAAAAACCGATTAGATGAAAATTCCATAATAAAAATGCTATGATCTTGCTCTGGAAACATACAATGGCAACACTGACAAGGTATTTCCAATTATCAAGAATTTATCAGTTTGTTTTATTCAAGTAGCATGAATATTAATAACTATGTGAAAGACAGTCATCAGTAGGATAGAAATTGTGACTGTCATGCTCATTATGTGCTCCAAGGTTATTTCCCCAAAGCCTGGTACAAAGCAGAGACTAAACAGAGTTAATGTACAGATGCTCATTACAATAAACAAGTAACAGTGAGTGTGACAGTTGGGTAACTTATGCTCTTAGTAAAGATGAATGAGAATAAATGAACAGGTTCTTTAATTATTCCATGATACACATACATGTGCACACAAATCTTATTCTCTACTACATAATTATGTGCCATGTGCTTGTGTGGCCATACCCTGCCATGGAAATAGAATCATAAAAACATACATGAAGAGGCAATGGGATATATGCACCCCTATGTTCATAGAAGCACACTTTACAATAGCTGAGATTTGGAAACAGCCTAAGTGACCATCAGCAGATGAGTGGATTAGAAAACTGTGGTACATCTACACAATGGAATACTACGCTGCTATAAAAAAGAAGGAAATTTTACCATTTGCAACAGCATGGATGAAACTGGAGAGCATTATGCTAAGTGAAATAAACCAGTCAGAGAAAGAGAAAATACCACATGATCTCACTCATTTGTGGAATATAATGAACAACATAAACTGATGAACAAAAATAGAAAGTCATAGAATAGAGAGTCATAGAAGCATCGAGCAGACTGTACAATCTATGAGGGAAAGCAGGGGATGAGGAGGTAAGAGATCAACCAAAGGACTTGTATGCATGCATATGAGCATAACCCATGGACACAGACAGTAGGTGGGTGAGTGCACGTGCTGAGGGGTGGGGGTGTCCGGGGAGATGTCAATGGGGGGGGGGAAGAAGAATTATGTAATACTTTAAACAATAAATAATTTTTTAAAAAAAAGATGCAATGGGAAAATAGAACAGGATTATAAAAAAGTAGCTTATGAGAAAAACATTTACATAAACACAGCACACAGAGTTCTCAGTATCATTTCAATAAATAAATAATGCTTTTTTCAATTCATAGAAAAATAAAATACCTTTCCAGTTAAACCTGAAATTTGTGAAAATATGGTCTGCAAAAAAAAGATATGCTCATGAAGTAAAGTTAAAGGCTGAGGTTATAAATCTCTAAGAAGCCACAGGAAATCTGCAAACCATCTACTACACTTGCATTCTATTTTCTTGCTCTCGAAGCATCAACACCACCACCACTCATTCCTACTTTTTCTCCTCTCTAGGGCTTAATCCAGTTGGGCAGGCCAGATCTATGATAATCAACACCTGATAGGTGGGCAATAAGATCCAAACGTAGAGTTCAACTTCATTTCAGTCACCCTGAGCAAACCACCGGGGTCAAAATGTTCTATCCAGTATAGGACTCCTAAGGCACACTGACCAGTTCAACTTTCAAGTCTTTAAGTAATTGATGGAGCTTAAGCGCATATAGCAATTTATAAACATTGAAAATAATTGGTGATAAACTCTTAAAGGTAGTTCCCTTTAATGGAGTCTAATGAAAAGACTGAGGTCTACCATCCTCAGTTCTAACTATAAAGGGAAGTCCCTAAAGATAACCATTTATTGTCCAAGGGGAAATAGTTTTGCCTGAAGAAGTCACTGTCTTAGTCACAGCACAATTAGAGGGGAAAATCAGTTTGTCTAGACACTGTGGGGGAAGAACAGACAGGAGAATTTTCTAGATGAAAATAAACTCATTGAATCACCCTGGGATTATATAAAAAAAATTATTTTATTTGGGTTTTAAATCCCTCCTGGTACATGATGGTCTCTTAAAAGGACAATCAAAGAAATTAAGGAGCCTTAACACTGATGGCATTATCAAGCTAGAAACGGAAAGTTGATTTCCATCCACCCCCTCAAACCATACCAGGGCTTTAGAAATCATGCTCATATCCCATCTGAGGGATGGTCAATACTTGGCATTTATGCTGCTTCTCTCAACTCTGATGCCCACAGAAAATTGTCTTGTCATCAATTTTACTCCCCGAGCCTAGGCAGGGTCTGAGCCCAGTTTACAGAATGATACAGGCTGCCACTCTAACTGAACAGAATGGCCAAGGGATAACAATTTACCAGCCATACTGTGAGCTTAATAGGACATCAGGCCATTCCCACAGGGTTGCAAGGTTCTCCTAATACCATAGCACACGTCCTTTCCATTCTCCTTAAAAAATTTTCACAGGTGAAATGAAGACCCAAGAATCATTTGATATGCTCTTATGTATAT